TTTGCTTTAATTAGCATACATACAGATCTGAAGAGGAAATGAGTAGCTTTCATTTTTTTCTCCTTAATTAATATCTGCTTCTATGTAGCTTTATCTTTCTTGGCTGCTCTGTAATTTGGCTTTAACACAGCCCTCAGGGAGGGAAACAGGGCTGTGACTGCCCAGCTCAGTGGGACTTCTAAGGCACGTGTGTATTCATTCCTTGATGGAAATGCAATAGAAGCTCATTACAGCTGATAACAACTTCGAGAGAAAAAGACATATTAAGCATCTTAAACATACACAGGGGAAGTTCAGGTTAGATCTAAGGCAGAAATTCTTCCCTGTGATGGTGCTGAGGCGTTGGCACAGGGTGCCCAGAGAAGCTGTGGCTGCCCCATCCCTGGCAGTGTTCAAGGCCAGGTTGGACACAGGGGCTTGGAGCAAGCTGCTCTAGTGGAAGGTGTCCCTACCCATGGCAGGGAGTTGGAATGGGATGAGCTTTAAGGTCCCTTCCAACAAAACCAGCCTGGGAGTCTATGATCTTAACATAAGGAATCTAGTGCTTAGAAAGCAAAACAAGCAGCCCTGCTGCACAAGAGAAAACAAGCTAGGAGCAAAGGATGCTGCTAGCATTGTGGATAAGCCTACAAATAGGATCCAGTCCTACCATGCCTAAAGATAGTCAGGAGCAATAACCAGCTTCATCAACCACTCAGTAACCATGAGGCAGACCAAGACAACAAGTCCACAGCCTACTTGGGAAGCCATCTTTTAAACACCAATGAGCAACACTACTTACATACAAGTCCAGAGCTTTACTAGCAAAACCAAAAGCACCCCTACAACTGTTCTAAAGAGAATGATTATCTTGTGCCTGTGCTTAAATAGAGGTGATAGCTGATGAGTGGTGGTGGGTAGAGGCCCAGGTGAGCCTGCCTGGGGCAATGAGAGCCTGAGGGTACATTCAGGACCCTGACACTTGAAACACAGCTGACAAATCCCTTCTCAGCGACAATCCAAGCTGCAAATTTCTCTTAATGTAACAGTAACTTACTTTAAACAAGAGCATCTCTTTGTAGTGCACAGTCATGCTCCAGAAGCATGGCTCTTGTTGACTTGGTGCTCAGTCTCAATCCAGGCTGTGTGTAGCATTGCATCAAACATGCATGAGCCTGCAACAATCAGATGGCAATTAGTTCCATGTGTGCCTTCTATATTTATACATAGGCCATGCACTATTCCTACTGATGGAAGAGGAGGGCTTCTAGCTGTAGGAAGTGGAGCCATTGCTGGGTATAGTGAGTATGCCTTACATAAAAGGGTAATCAGGAGTGTGTAAGAAGTGGAAGTTTTTAAGCAGGTAACATACAGCTATATGTTTTGGAGCCTTTTTATCTCTGCAGAGCTTGGAAGCCAGCTGAGTTACTGACTGTGTGGTGGTATGCTTGAGAGTTGACCTTTTCTTGGGGGTGGTAAAGAAAAGTGATGGCTTTTCTGGTTATGCTAACAGCGTTTGTGGGTCATTGCTATGCAATTAAAAGAAATTCATGGGATAAAATTGTGGCTCTATTACTGTTTAGCTGGTGAGAAGCTTGACAGAAAAGTTTGCAGTAAATATATGTGGTGAAGGGGAAATGCTTATCAAGGTAAAAATAACTGAATGAGAAGATTTTATTCTTATGCATTGACTACAGGAAAACACAAGCATTGCTTTGTTGCCCGTGAGTAGATCTGTGTAATCAAGCAGAGGAAGCTTGTGCAGGCTGTTTTCTACCTTGTTGCCGCTTCCCAAACTGTTCGGGAGGGGTCACTGTGCCCTCGCTTTTAGGTTGAGAGCCTGAAACCTTTCCAAAGGTCTGGTTTTATTTAGAAAACGCTGAGCTGTCTGGAAAGTTTGATGGGTAGGGATGCAGCTGGATTCATGTGCTGCTTCCTGGGGATTTGAATGCGTTTTACTAGCAGTATAGAGGGATCAGGGAGACGATATGCATGCAAACACCTCTGCTGACCACATCATCAGGACTTGAATGTTTTAAATCCAGCATCATGGGATTCTAACAGATAAGATTTGGTGTTTAGGGTTGTCAGGTTTCTCTCTGCAGTAGGACAAATCTGTCTGTGAGCACAGTGGATTTGCTCCAGGCTAACACAGGAGTACCAGACCATGTCTCTCCTGCAGTCACTGGTTAGCTTTTTCACTTAGAGCTTTCAGGGTCAGTTCTCTGATCCCTGTGAAGGTCACTGGGATTGCAGCAGTGCAGCCTTCTGGAATAAAGAGTATAATCTGCAACTGATGATCAGCTTCTGCTGTGCTTTTGCTCCTCAGAATGGTCACTATGTGCCTTTGGAGAGAACATCAGTTGTGTGTGGGTCTGACACTCATCTGCATTACAGTTTAGCACTCCCAGGTACATTTAAAAGTACTTCTCAGTGCCTAGTTTAGATGTTCAGCAATGCATCTGCAAGCTGCCTGCACAGCAGTAGGCTTTATCTCCTTTAGTTGGAAATGAGTCATTTCCCTGTACTGTACTGAGATGCTCAATTTCCTTGGAAATCATTCAGTTCTGCAGAGTCCCCAGAAATCACTGATTACTGGACTCTCATTTTGCACTGGGTGTTTTACCTCAGCCTTAATAGATCCCTAAGGAGCTTTCACAGGTTAGAGTAATTAAAAAAGAAAGGCTATAGAAGCAACTGGGCCCTTACCCACTTAATATTTAATCTGAAGGGCAAGTGAACCTTCTGTATTGACCACTGGCATCTCATCACACAGCCCCAAAACACAGCTGAGCAAGCTTTAATGAAGATTAAATGAGAAAGGGCTGTGTTAGCTGGCTGAGATGACGGCAGTTGTAGCTATGTGGATGTAGGGTGCCATGTATATGACACTTGGGAATGAGGTGCAGATAGAAGCCACTCTGCAGCCCCTTACAAACTGTGGGTGAAGGATGGTGGTCAAAGAGGACTTTGAGGTCTGCAGGGTGGGTTTGTGGAGCCTTGTGTACAAGAACTCCTGAGAAGGAGGATGATAAGAGCTGTAGCATTAACTGTGATGAAGAGGCACAGTGGCTCAGCAGAAAAGCAACTGTATAGCAATGCAGTTCTGCATCTGCACATCTAACATGCTCAAGATTATTACCACCAGCTATTTTGCCTATTCAGAGAGCCACGTGCCTCTTAAAAGCCTCCAAATGGGGAGGGAGATGGGGACAATTGGGTCTGTTTCCAACGCGATGATCCAGTCTGTTGGCATTGCAGGAAGCCTGTGCCCAAGAGCAATGTAGGGACAAGGGTAAACATTTCTGCTATCCCACAGAAAGCAGGGCCTGCCTTTCCTATCCGCCTGGGACAGGAGCTTGTCAGCAGGATGGCTGTAGCTATTGCCATGATACAGGAAATAACACAGGGAAAGGATGAGCGTGCTCTGGTTTCCTCTTCTGCCCCAGTCCGAGGGGAGGAAGGAGCAGTCCTGTCCTGGAGGCACTCCTGTGGCAGTGAGCTGCTCCTCAGGGTTCTATGCATTGGGGTGCAGGCTGGGAAAACTAGTTTCCCCCCCCTCATTTGAACGTTTCTGTTTGGAATCCCAGCTCTGGCGTTCCCAGCAGGAATGAGCCAGCTGCTGTGGATGCTGTTGGCTGGAAAAATCTCCTCACTTCTGAGGGGAAAAAAGAGGCATTTAAAGTAAAATTCCATCAGATTCAAACTAAACTGCTCTGAGGCTTGACCCAAAGGCTTTAGGCTCTTTGCATGAGCGGTGTGGCTGCTTGTGAGCATCTTGCTGTCAGCTCCGTGAGGTGGAGAAAGATGTAATTTAGGGTAAATTTGAGGCTTTACACACCCAACTGCGAGGCTTAAAGCCCTCAAAGGGTGCAGAGGGCTCGGGATCCTGTTTATACTTAATTTGAGGTTCTCAAACCCGGCATTTTGAAGGTCCTGTGTGAAGACAACCCAGGCCCCGAGATATCACCACAGGGGGGCTATTATTATTGCTATTATCATCATCATTATTAAGTTTAGGCGCACTGTCTGTAAAATACATGTAAATAACCATCACCAGGCGAGGCGTCAACACGGGCCGCGGCTCCTCGCTGACAGGATTTTAACGCCCATCCCTCACGCCGAAGGGAGGAAATGCCCCCCCGGGCATCCCTTGATGCCGCTGGACCGGCCGGGGTCCCCATCGCGGCCGGGCACACTGAGGAGAGCTCTCGGTACCGGAGTCTCCCCTCACGGCCCCACCACACATCGCCCCCCGCCCGCGCCCCCTCCTCTTCCCCGCCCTGGCAGCGCCGCGCTGCACTGTGGGAGTTGTAGTCCTTCCCCCGGTACCACCGCCTCCCACTGCCACTATAGCTTTGCGACTGCGAACTACAACTCCCATGGTGCCGCGCGGCGAGCCCCTGCCGCCATTCCGCCTACTCCGCCACCCTCCTTTGCCAAAGGGCGATTCCCCCCCCCCGCCGCGCTGTGGGGCGGGAGCCGCGCTACCGGGCAGCGGGGGCTCCGCCGGCGGGAGCGGCCACCGGGGGTGACGGGGCCGGGCCGGGTCCCCCGGGCTCGGCCGAGAAGCGAGGGGGCGGCGCTGCCGGCGGCAGCCGGGACTTCCTGTGACAGCCCATTTCCTGGTCGGATGGGGCCGGCGGGCGGCGGGGTCGGTCCTTGACGGGCTCAGTGGCCGCCAGGCAGCGATGCGGGCCCCGGGCCCTGCCGGCAGGCGGCCCCCGCCGTGACCCGCCGCGGGCAGCCGCTGGGGCTGCGGCTAGGCCGGCCCTGGGCGCCGCTGCGGGGTGCATGGAGTCACCCCCCCCCGCCCGCACAGAGATACCGGGCGGGGGCCGTGTCAGGGGCCCTGTCACTCGGGCCTCCGCTGAGGGGGCTGCGGCGGCCCAGGCCGCGCTGTGGGGGTAGCTGCCAACCCCTTCCCGTTCTCCGCGTTGTGCTTTCGCAGGGGTGAATCCCTCACACCCCGCTCGGCCCCGGACCCCCGTCTTTGCCCGGCGGCAGGAAGCAGGAGAAGGGGGTTTGGGACCGGCAGAGCAGCATTGCCCCGCGCACGCAGGCGGCTGCTGCCTCCTGAGACATGAAGAAGTTTTTCGACTCGCGTCGGGAGCAGGGTGGCTCTGGCCCTGGATCGGGCACCAGCGGCGGCGGCGGTGGCAGCGGCGGCCCGGGCAGCGGGTACATCGGGAGGGTGTTCAGCATCGGCCGGCACCAGGTGACGGTGGACGAGGTGCTGGCGGAAGGTAAGACCCCAGGGCCTCTGCTTCCACAGAGCTGGAAACGGGAGGCTTTGGCCTTTCTTGGGCATTCCGCCTCCCCCTCTATCCCTAGCTCCCCATATATTGTATTGTCCTTGACAGAAGTGGCACCTGCAAGCTGACGTTTGTGGGCTTCCCATATGGAAACCCAGTGTGGGTTTGCTGGGGTTTATTTAAAGTGCTTTAGAAACTGAGGGGATTTCAGAAGTTCTTTCCCACCTTCCCTACACCAAATCAAATGGCAAATGTTTCACTGCTGTAAAATAATGCAAGCAGTGGCCTTCATTCTAACTTTCTTCAGCCTCCTTTCCTACTGTGAGCAGAGAGGAATAAAGCACTGGAGTAAATTCCTTGTAGATAATGTAATGCATGTAGGTAGGCTGAGTAGAGCTGCCTGTGATTTGGGCTGAGGGATTCCATTTGTGTGGGGTTCTGCAGTAATCCCAATTGTCTGGGGGGTTTTGGGGTGTATTTGGGCTTTTTTTGGAGGAGGTGTCAAAATCGAGGAATTAAAGGACTAAAAATGAGCAATAGGGGTTATAAAACTCTTTGCATGTCCAGTCCTTGCAGTGCAGCAAGCTGGTGGTGGTATCTTTTAAAGTGCAGCCAGCACTGCTGCTGTAACTATCATTTCCCATTTCATCTGCTTGGGGTATAAGGAACCTTCTGCATGAATTTGGCTGCTAACCTTAGCCTTGACCTTCAGAGAGATGTTGGCCACCTCCTGGTCCATCTCCTTTGCAATTCCGGTCAAAACAGTGTTATGTTTTGCTGGTGTAAGTGTGAGGGAGGGGGTAGCTGCTTGTGAGAGCGGAGTGGGAGGACCTGTGTAGGCTTCTGCAGAGAAAAAGCCCTAAAATGGGAAAGGGACTCTGTGTACGCCGTGTGCCTTCAGGTTTGTAACGAGCCACCACAGTGCAGAAGAAAATAGAGCTGTGACCATCTTCCAGGCATGGTTTCTGACATGTTCTGCGTGCTGAGCTGAGAGGAGCCCCAACACCAGGCCTCCAGCTAGTAACTATAGTGATCTTTTCCATCTTGACTTGAAATTTGCAATATAGGTTTGCCTTGGCTGATATTTCCAAGGCCTTAGAAGCTTAAGAACTACAGGAGCTCAACCTGAGAAGCTGTCACAGTCTTCTTTAACTCACGTTGGCCTCATCCTGGTAACATGGGGAACCAGAGGCTTTCTTTGCTGATGAATAATGTGCTGGCAGGTTCTGCCCTGGTGCTGACAGCACTGGGAAGCAAGCCCGTGTGTCACTGGGCTCTCTGCTCCAGAGCCCTAAGCTACAGCTGCAAAAGCACAGGTTGCACAGGAGATGTGCTTCCCCTTTATACCTTGCTGCCCCAGAGGAGCTGCTGCTTGTTGAGGGCTTTTCCCTATGATTCCTGCTTTCTTGGCTAGCCTTTGGGATGAAGCATGGCTTAGGGTGGGTTACAACTATTACATCTGCATGCACAAGCCAAGCGAGGAGTGACAGGCCTGTAAAAAGGGTGCTGTGTTCTCTTCCTGGCTGCATTACAAGGCAAAAGAAGTTCTCTTGTTGAAATGTGCTATGCAGGTGTTTTCCTCACACTTGGACTCCTGGTGTGGGCAGTCCAAAAGCATTCTGTGTGCTGAATGAAGTCTCCAAGGGGACAGGAACAAGGTGGTTTGTAGGTTTGCAGGTTGATGGGAACAGAGGGGTGAAATACCATTTCCTTTATCAAAAGGTAGGTCATCTGGGGAGGCAGCATGGGTCAAAAGCACAGCTTTGCACGCTTCTGGTCTTTGGGTGTAGCTCTGTGTGCTCCCCAGGTGCTGGTAAACAGCATTTTTCCACTGACTCAGCTGGAGACCTGAGGGGTTCTCAGGCAACCTGGTCCCTGCGTTACTGATGTCCCAATCCTTGGCTGGAAAGCTTCCTTGTGTCTGCAGTGAATTTTGGTGCTTCAGCAGTGTTAAAAAGGCAACTTGTGAAGTCTTGGCTATTTCTGCTAAAAGGAAAAGTCTCCTGGGAAGCACTTTGGTGGAGGAGGAATATCCTGTCTGGGAAAGAGACATCTGTCTTCTCTGTTGCTTTGGAAGGGAGAGAAGAGGCCTGGGTTTTGGTGCAGCATAGAATCAACTAGGTTGGAAAAGACCTTTAAGATCACCAAATCCAACTGTTACCCCAGGACCACCAAATCATGTGAGCCTAGAAAAGAAATGAGATGTAAAAGAGACTGAAATGATGGATACTGTGGGGGAGATTGGAGTTGCAGGCCCAAGGAACTGCTTGAACCAGAGCTTTTGGAGTTAAAGTGTTGGGATTTATGTCTCTCGGTCAAGCTGCGACTGGTCCCTCTCAATTCTGCTGAGCAACCCTGCTGAGGATGAGCATTCCCTGGCCCAGGATGGGAGCTCTTGATGCAGTCACAGAGCCAGATGGCAAATGTCTCCACGTGATCCCCCAAAATATCTGCTGCGGTTAGGTAGTTCCACACCCCCTTAAAAATAGTTGTCTGGATACTTGCTTTCCTGGGCAGGGAGGAAGTGGATGGGAATAATACATCAGGAACTTGAATGGTTGTTTGTCTGTGGTGATGTTATACTGATGAATCAGTGCCTTTTTACAAGTATATTGCAGTAAATGAGTCTTAGTTGAGGCTTTGTAGATGTCTTGCTCTGATCCATATAATAGCAGAACCCTGGAGAAATTCCCCTCAAAGTCTGCATGAGGATTACGTGCTGTGGGAAGCCAGCACTGCTGGCCTTGGAGTTCTGCAAGGTCAGGGTTAAAGGCAGTGGCATCATCCATACTGGAACTCTAAGGGGGCTCGAGTTCCCATTTGGAAGGTGTCTGGTGCTTCAGGGAGCTGAGGTGAATGCCCAGGAGGTATTTGAGTGTGGAGGAGAGTCAGGCTGCGATCTTACTGTTTCATTTGTGAAAAGAAACCCAACCAGTGTGATCCGATTGGATGCCTCAATCCAACGGGATTGCCCCAATATCCAGTTTTGGGATACATGCTTTGCGTTACCCTCTGTACTTGCAATAATGTGAGAGTGCTGAATTGATCCAAGGTACAAAAGCATTGATGGGGTGCGTGTTTGAGCTGGGATTTTGTTAGTCGTGGTGTATTCCCAGCAAAAGATGCAGGCTGTTTCTTCAGCTCTGTGAAAAGTCACTTTTTCCCTTAGTAGTATCCTTCTGAATGTGCTACTTGTAGTCTTTTCCCCTTAAAATATATAAGTTAGGGGATTCAGTTTAGTAACTGTCAGAATGTGTTTCAGATACATGCCTTGTGTGTGCTGCTGGCTAATGTCCACTTCAAAGCGTTCAATAGTGGGCCTTAGAAACCAGTGTAAAAATCAGCTTCAATTTGGCAGCTGTATGTTTTACTCTGTGCTGAAAGGATGGGCTCTGTGGGGAGGTGTCATCAAGAGCCTGGTCATGTACAGCCTGTACTGAAGGGGGAAGGTGGTCCCCTGGGCTGCCTGAATGTGTGGTTGGGCTTAATTGCAGAGGGCTCACCCCAGTTCCAGTGTGGTTGGGTTGAAGGCATCACTTTGAAGTTCATTTTGTCGCTTCTGGCTTCTGCCATTTGGGTTAGGAATTAAACTATTTCTCCTCTTGGAATGGGATGTGGGATTCTTTTAATTTAGCTTTTCCTGTGTACCTTGTGAGGCAGGGCATGTGTGCTCTGCACTGCTGGGTAGCATACTGGCTCCTCTGTGGTGTGGTAGTCTGGTTTCTTGAGTGTACAAGCCAGGCAGACTGGTGAAGGATCCCCAGTGAGTTAAATGTTGAGGTGCCCCATGTGCTTTGGTGCCTTTAGCAGCACAGATTTTGCTGGGTTAGAGCATGTGCCATGTCCCTGGATGTAGCCAGGAAGGAAAGGAAGGTGTTAATGGATTTAACTGTATAAGAAGTTGTATAGTGTAGAGACTCGCATCATCTAGCCTCACTTCTAAGCTTTATGCAACATGTCAGAAAATGGGTCTGGGATTGTACATGGGGGTGGCTGTTTTCTCTTTAGGTATACTTAAATATACTTCATCAGTATATTTAATGGCAGGGATTGCCCTCTGCAGTCATGGGGAGATGAGACTTCTGCAGTTGTTCTCCCAGGAAGGAGCTTTCCATGTTAAAACAAAATAGTTCCTGATTCAAGCAGTCCTGCAGCAGCCTTAGGAAGTTGCCAGTTCCTTAGTGTAAAAAAGCTTAGGTTTAGGATTCTGACTGGGGAGACGACAGGGTTTAACTCTCCAACACTGGTCTTGCAGAGCGTCCTAGTGGTGATGTATGAACAGGTTACCTCTGGTTGCAACTGCAGCAGCGACACTTTGGATCTAAGGAAAACCTCATGGCAGTGCATGTTCTCATTGTGTTGTGGCCCTTCTCCCCTTTGCACAGGAGCTTGTCAGCAGTTGCAGAGAGCAGGTGGTAAGTTATAAATGTGCTGAAGACAAGCTGGAATCCACTTTGGGGTTAGCACTTGCTGCTTTCCAAGTTCACCCACCTGCATTAATCATGGCTAATAAGGGCAGGACTGACTAGGTGCTGCACACTCGCATTGCAGCTGGAAGCTGCTTCCTTGGAAGGTGGCTTTTCCCAGTGCAAATAGTGATTTGGACAGACTGAGGCTGTGCTTGTTGGAACAGCAGCCGCAGGACTCACTGCTGCTCTGAGAAGTTGCAACCAATTTACCTTTCTTTGTACTAAGTAAGTGTTTACTCGTGTTTCACATGTGGAAGGAGATGGGAACTCTCTGAGGAAAAACATGCCATAAGCAAACTGAGTTTATGGAGGAGTTCTCTTTTGGTAACAAGAGGTAACCAAACCAGTTGTTTCCAGGAAAGGATTAAGGGAAGCACAGGATACCCTCTGGATACCATACTGGAATAACACCTCCTTAAACCAGGTACTGGCTGTTGTACTTTCCTGAATGTAGGAGCGATACAGACAGAGGTTTACAAGCACAAGGAAAAGGTTTGGAAAGGCTTAAGTGAAACACAGTTG